AACTGCAGGGAATTCCCTGATGGTCCAGTGGTCCAGGACTCCACACTCTCACTGCTGAGAGCCCAGGTTCGGTCCCTGGCCGGGGAACTAAGATCCCACAAGCTGCGTTGCTCGGACAAAACAAACAAACAAAAAACAAGCTGCAGCCTCCCTCCATTCCCCTGCACCCCAATCCCTCAGCCCCCTTCCTTAATGTATTTTTCTTCACGGCATTTACCAGCATCAAACAGACTATGTTTTACTTCTTTTGCTTGTTTATTGTCTACCTCCAGAATGTGAGCTCATGAGGTCAGGAATTTGTGTCTGTTCTGTTTACTGCCATATGTCCAGTGCCTAAAACAATGCCCAACATATAGTAAGCGCTCAAACATTTTTTTTGTCAGGTGGATGAGTGAGGATCTGCCTTTAGGGTTGACACTTGTAGCTACTATACGTTGTGTGCTATACCCTGCGTTAACTGCTCTGTATGTTGAATTCTTTCTTTTTTTTTAAATTTTATTTATTTATTTATTTATGGCTGCATTGGGTTTTCGTTGCTGCGCACGGGCTTTCTCTAGTTGCGGCAAGTGGGGGCTACTCTTCGTTGTGGTGCACGAGCTTCTTATTGTGGTGGCTTCTCCTGTTAAGCATGGGCTCTGGGCACACGGGCTTCGGTAGTTGTGGCTCACTGGCTTCAGTAGTTGTGGCTTGCAGGCTCTAGAGAGCAGGCTCAGTAGTTGTGGCTCACGGGCTTAGTTGTTCCACAGCACATGGGATCTTCCCGGACCAGGGCTCGAACCTGTGTCCCCTGCATTGGCAGGTGGATTCTTAACCACTGCGCCACCAGGGAAGCCCTGTACGTTGGGTTCTGATCACACCCTTCCATCTCTCCTGCCCCTACTGGGGTCCAGGCAATGAACCCCTCCTCCCTGGAGTCTGTTCTGGCTCAATCCCAGCCCCCAGGCTGGCTCCTTCCCCTCCATTGCCCCTTTGATGCCCATGTCACTCCCCTGCTTAAAATCCTCCAATGATTCCAGGATTCCACCTCATAACCTCCACTCCAGGGTTTTTCATACTGCGTGTCACAACTGGTTAGTGGACTGTGAAATCAACGAGCATTTTTCAATAGCCTAGACTAGATCAGAGTCTGTGCACATAGTATAGACATAGTATAGGCTAAGGTATAGGTGAAGTATGATTTCAAGAAACTTTTGGGGACTTCCCTGGTGGCGCAGTAGTTGAGAATCTGCCTGCCAATGCAGGGGACACGGATTTGATCCCTGGTCCGGGAAGATCCCACATGCTGCGGAGCAACTGAGCCCTTGCACCACAACTACTGAGCCTGTGCGCCTAGAGCCCGTGCTCCGCAACAAGAGAAGCCACCGCAATGAGAAGTCCACGCACTGCACCGAAGAGTAACCCCCATTTGCCGCAACTAAAGAAAGCCCTCGCAAGGAAGACCCAACGCAGCCAAAATACAAATAAAATTTAAAAAAAAAAGAAACTTTTGTTTCAGTGTCATATGCCTTGGAATCATGATGTAAATGTATTTCTTACTGTGGGTCAAAACATTTTGCCAAACCCTGCACTACACAGACCTGCCTCTCCTAAATCCCATGTACAGACTGGATGGATGATGTTAATATCAGCTTAGATTTCTCTCTTTGCTGGGACCCATGGCAAGTGATTTTACCTGCTTTGGTCTTGGACTCCCGGCCACACCCCAAGCACTGTTAATGATTCCCAGTTGACGGATGGTGAGACTGAGGCTCATACTGGAGAAAGCCCATGCCTGAAGTCACCAGGCTGGGAAGGAGGAGAGCAGGGCCTGAGTCCCAGCCAACCTCCCTCCCTGAGCCTGCTCACTCGCCCGCTGGCCCTGCCCCTCCTAGTCTGCTCCCCACCTACACAAAGAACTCAGCTGTGCCAGCTCATCCCCAGAGCCTCCAGGTGCAAGCTGACTCAGAGATCCTTCAACATCCCAGCCAGCAGTACTGGTTGAACCCCCATTTTGCAGGCTAGAAAACCGAGGCCAGAAAGCATTTCCAAGAATCCACCATTCTATCACTCTTCTCCAAACTCCCCTCTTTGAGAGGCAAGAGAGAGAAATGGCTAAGGACGCATCTTTGACTGTCTGGGTTCAAATCTCATGCTTCAAAACTTTGTAGCTGTGTGATCCGAGGCAAGCTCGCTGAACCTGTTTCCTTTACTGCAAAATAGGAATAATAATAGTAACTACCCATAAAGCCATGCTCAAGACTTAAATAAGTTGAGATAAGTGTAAAGTTCTTAGATCAGTGGCCACACCCCTTGGTTGGGAATCTTCCCAACATCTCTACGTAATTAGACTACTATTTGCCCCCGAAGTTTGTCGCAGAGAAAGGGAGGCCCTTGCCTGAGTTCGCACAGCCAGGAAGCAGGAGAGTCAGAATTTAGATGCAGATCTGCCTGGGCTTTTAACCACCTAGTCACAATAGTCCTTCGGGATGTTAGTATCAGCAGCAACGACATTTTCCGAATTAAGGAACAGGAGACTCAGAGAGGGTAAAGACGTGCCCAAGTCACACAGCCTGTAAATGGCAGAGCCAGGTTTCAAAGCCAGGTTTGCGTGTGTCCAGTACAGGCTGACTGTTGTCCCATGAGCCCCTCCATAAAGCTCTGGTGGGGCAGGAGGAGAAAGCAAGTTGAGAGCTGCCCCTGTCTCCAGCTCAGTCTGGGGGTCTTGTATCCCTGGTTCCAGCCCCTGGCCAGCCTAGGGTGACTGCTTCCCTAAAGGCTCTAGGGTGGGGTTACTGGGGTGGCACAGATGATGGCAGAGGGTGCAGCCTCCCCCTGCACCGGCCTCTGATTGGGGCCCTGCAATCCCCCAGGATTTGGTGCTTGGAAGGCTGACGTTGTGTTGCTATGGCAATGGGTTTGGGGCGGTTGCCATAGCAGCAGAACTAGCCTGGGTTTAAAAATATCTAGGAGGAGGTTTGTGTTTGTGTGTGAGTGTGAGTGCGTGACCGACCGTGCTGTTGTGTGTGTCCAAATGGGAGGGCTTGGGGTGTGTGTGTGGAACTGGGGCTGCAGGCATGACTTGAGGGTGGGGGCTGAGCAGCACCCTGACTCCATGTGTGCTGTGTGTGTTGCTGAGTGGCCTGCGAGGTCCCATGCATTTTGTGCATTAGTCTACGTGGGCCATGTATCTAAATGTGTGTGATTCCGCAATTAGTGTGGAAGACACAATTGAGTCTGTTTGTCAGTCTATATATCACGTCACTAACATGTATGCCTTATGTAACATAGGTTGTGTATGTCTTGTAGCTTTGATCCTGTACGTGTAAATTCTCATCATGTGTGTGGCCAAGTGTGGATTTGTTTTGGCTCTGAATAGGTGCACCTGGGACGTACTCAGATATTAGATTATGTATCTATTTGTGCATAAGAACCTGTGGCGTGGCTTTGTGAATGTGCATAATGCATAATGCACATTCACATGAGTGAATGTGCATTATGCATTATGGGTGTGTGTGTATGTGTGTGTATGCCTATTCCCTGTGAGTCTTCTTCATACATTAGAGTGTGCCTGTGTAAAATTGTTGAGTGTGCACCTGTGTGTCTGCAGGGGGACCTGTGTGACTCTGTGTGTTTTGGGGGGAATTTCACACCTTACTCCACGGATGTTGGGATATATATACCTGTGTGGTGTGACTACATGTGACTCGAAGGTCTAAGGTGTGGATCTCTGCCTGACCCCAGTATCTCCCTGCATCCCTCTGCCTCTTCTCTGTCTCCATGGCAACCAGCTCCTCAGCTCCCTCCAAGAAGATGGAGGGGGAGGATCCAGACTACAGTGGACCACAACCCCCTCCCATCCCCTTTGACTCTGGGGACAATGGGGGGGAGGGGACAGATGGGCGGCCACCCCATCCACCCCAGGCCATCTGCTACCCTCCCCATCCTGGGGACCTGAGAGCGTGGCAAGGGAGGGACAGGAGTGGGGTGGAGCAGAGGGAGGGGCCCCCCAGCTGCCACAATTACCCCCATCCAGGCCCCCTCTGAGGCTAATCTTGCCTCTGGCTGACCTAGGAAGGAAAAAGAATCCTTGGAGACCAGAAATCCAGGGAGAAGAGAATTCATGTATCAGACAAAATTAAATATTAGCAATGATCCATTCTAAGGAAGGGGCCCCTACTTCCAGTGACTTTGGGCTCTGAAATTAAGCTTGGCCTATGTTTGAATCCCAGTTTTCCCTCTGTCTACCTATACACCCTTGGACAAGCTACACTCCACATTCCTGGGCCTCCATCTGTCATATGAAAATCAGGTTTTCTTGATGACGTGAATAGTAATACTTACTCTTTAAGGGCCAAGACTGTTTAGTCCCCTGTTGTATCCCAGTGTTTGGGATAGTGCCTGGCACTTTGTAGGTTCATAAGTGCCATTGATTGAATTGAGTGCCAGTTGGGTGCTAGGCTCAAGCACTACATTTTGTAAGTCAGGTGTTCATTGAACTCAATCCCCTAAGCCCTTGCAGTAACTCTCTGTCGATTCTTCAAGGGATAGATGAAAGATTTGAGGAGCAATTTCCCAGCTGTCGGGGATGCGAGATATGTGAAGTGGGATTTCTTTTAGCAACCAAGTGATGTCAAGTGGCTGAGGCTCAGTTTCCTCATCTGTAAAACGGGGGTAACAGGAGTACCTCACAGAATTGGTTGCTCTAGGAATTAAATGTGATAATGTTTGTGACGTGCTTACTTAGAACCGGACCTGGCACATGGTAAGTACTTGTTCAATAAACGCTCATTACAGGCGAGGGGTGGGGAAACTGTGGAGGAGCCCAGGGTCCTTATTGCAGCCTGGGAGAGCCTGGTCCCTCGCGTAGCTGCGGGGAGGGGCGTAGTCAACTCTGGGGGCGTGGTCCAGGATTCAAGGACAGGCCAATGGGGCGTCGAAGGGCGTGGCCCTGACCTGCATGGGCGTGACCTTGCGCGGGTGGGAGGGGCCAGGCCGCTGTGGGAGCCTCCGGGAAGAAGATGCTCGGGCCAGCAGCCACCGCCAGCCCAGCCACCGCTGCCGCCCGCGCTCGCCACCCCCCGGGTCCCCACTAGCGGCCGCCTCCGCCTCCCATCTCCGGCCCCGTTCCTCCGGCCCCCCGCCCCGGGCAGGGTCTGGGGGGCTAGGCCCTCTGCCCCGGGGAGCAAAGAAGGGGGTCCCGTCCCCCACAGTGGCGCGGCCAGTCCCCCGGCCTCCGTAATCTTGAGAGAGACCCCACCCCTCAGTTCTCTCTGGGCCCTATCCGAGACCCCTTTTTCCTTCCCGTCCCGCTCACATCCGCTCTCCAGGCTCTGTCAGCCCCCCAGAAGCAGCTCCCTCCCTCCTCCCCTCTCCGGGGTTCCCCCTCCCCCATCCCTCCGCCACCGCCCCCTCCCCCTCCCACATCCCCTTCCCTCCCCCTCCCTCTCCCCCGTCCCCCCGCCCCCCCCACCATGAGGATGATGGCCGCCGGCGCGGTGCACGGCCTCTTCACGGCCTCCGCGGCCCCGCAGCCGCCGCCGCCCCCGCCGCCGCCGCCGCCGCAACCCCAGCCTCCCCAGCAGCCGTCGCCGCCGCCACAGCAGCCGCCGCCGCCGCCGCCGCAGCCGCCGCAGCAGCAGCAGCCGCCGCCCCAGGCCCCCCCCATGGAGCCCGAGGCCCCGGATTCCCGCAAAAGGCCCCTCGAAACGCCCCCCGAGGTGGTCTGCACCAAGCGCAGCAACACGGGAGGTGAGAAAGGGCTGCGGCTCCGGGTGGGGGAGCGGGCAGGGGGCCGCGCCTTTCTCCAGCCTCCTCCCCCCCAAATGGCAGGTGCAAGGGCTCTGGGGAGGGGAAGGGCGCCCCTCCCTAGACTGGGGAACGGACAGGGGAATTGGGGAGGGAACAGGACCCCTTTCCCCTCTCGCCGCGGCCCTGGGCTGGGAGCTTTGTCTGCGTTGAGAGGACTTGGGGGGGGAGGGGGTGGTAAGTGTCCTTGGGGGCGCGCAAAGGATGGGGGGCGTGGGTGCCTCCGATCGGGTGTCTCTGTGTCCTTGAGGGGTGTGTGATGTGACCCTTTCGGGGCAGGGGTGTTCCCGGGCTGGCGTGTCCTGGCGGGGGGAGGGGAAGGAGCTGAGGAGGCCTGTGGACCCGGAGCTTCCCAGCCTCCCTCCCTGGGGATGTCCTGAGCAAGGGTTGTCCCGGAGGGAGGCATGTGTGGGCCATGGGCGGGATTTTGCGTGGGGACAAGCTAGGTGGGTGTGTTGGGTGACATGGAGGAAAGGGTGGGTGTGTAAAGCTCAGTGAGAGAATGTGTGGCTGGGACAGGTGTGTGTGTGTGTTCGTGTGTGCGTGTGAGCCCTGTAAGGCCTGGATGTGTGACATTAGGGATCATGGATATGACAGGAAGGAGGGTGTGTGTGTGTGTGTGTGTAAGAGATGAGAGGGTGAGAGGGGCTGGGCTCCGTGTTTGAGACCCCCTTAGGGGTATATGTGACAAGTGCGTGCATGTCACTCCAGAGGGGACTGTGGCAGAGTGTGACACATGAGTGAGAAGGTGTGTGTGACATGCAAGGAGGTGTGTGTGGGCTGCCGAATGGGCCGGCTCTGGGTGTGAGCCATGAGAGGCTGTGTGGATCAGAGGATGGCAGTTCAGTGTGTGTGACACAGGCGTGTCCCGGGTGGGGTGGGACCAGGAGAAGCTGGTGTGGGTATATGACAAGAAAAGAGTGTGGGCGTGACTCCAGAGAGGCTGTGGCTGGGTGTGACACACGGAGGTGTGCAATGGTGACATCAGAGGGGGTGTGTGCAACAAGGGAAGGTGGGTGTATGACAGGGGAGAGACTGGGGCTCTGTGGTGAAATTCATGAGGGTGTGTAACAAGGAAAGGGAAGGATGGGGACCCATGTGACAGGGTGCAGGAACGTGTGCATGTGACACCCAGGGGGGTGGGAAAAGGGAAGGTGTGTGTGTGACACCCAAGTGTGTGTATATGTGTAACAAGGGGTTGTGTGTGAAATGGTTGGTGTGGGGATGATTGTGTGTGTGTGTGTGTGTGTGTGTGTGTGTGTGATGGCTGCATGTTTGACAACACAGAAGGGGTGTGTGTGTAAGACAAGAGGGACCCTCACTGTGTGTGTGTGAAGAGGTATGTGTACCAGAGAATAAAAGCCAAGCTGGGAACTCTAGGTGTATGTCTACCCGTGAGGTAGGGTTTGTCAGGGGACTCAGAGCCCAGCCCATTAGCTCCCTGGAAGGAGGGAGACCCCAGAACAGACAAGCCCTTCCCAGCGGTCACCTTGGCCAAAATCTCCGCTTCCTCTGGCCTTTTCCTCCGGATGGGAAAGGGATGGCCTCGGGCATTGTAGTGGGTGGGGTGGGGACCTCCCACCTCCTCTCCTTGGATGTACAGGAGCCATCTCTTCCTCCCGTCCCAGCCCCCTGCCACCCCTGGCCAGGTGCGATAGGAAATGGGGAACCCCTGGCTGCCTGTGAGGGTGTCCAGCAGAAATTGGAGGAAAGGGAAGTTGGGGGAGGGGTGGGAGGGAGTTTCCTGTCCTTCTTCCTGCTCCCCCACCCCCAGCACACACATGAATGTGTCCCTGCCACATCCTTGCCTCCTTCCTGCCTCACTGCCATTCCCAGCCCTAGGAAGGGTCGGGTACCCAGGCGGTCCCTGAACCCAGCCTGGAGGTCCAGCCCCACCCCTGCTGGGGGGGAGGGGAGGAGGGCTCATCCTTCTCTTAAAGAGGCTGAGATGCTCAAAATCTGAGCACTCAGAGCACAGCAGCACCACCTAACTGTGATGCTGCCAGGACGGTCAGGTCCAAGTGTTTGGCACCTACTACGAGTCAGGCTCTGAGATACGGGTTAATTTCCCAGTACAACCCTGGGGGAGATGATTTGAGCTGCTTTTTCAGACGAGGAAAACTGAGGCTTAGCGAAATGAAGCCACTAGCCCGAACTCACACAGCTCATAGTGGGGAAGCTGGGATCTCTCCAGCCCTGGGCTGCCTGGCTCCAGAGCTCATGTGCTCAGCCACTGTGCATCCTGCCTCCTTCAGCTGTGGGGAAACTAGGGTGAGCCCTTAGGGACCCTCTCCTCCAGACTCTTCCCAGGGGAAACTGAGGCCCAGAGATGTGAAAGGACAGTCCTCCATTTGCAGAAACCCTCAGGGCCAGGGCTGGGCAACTGTCCAGGACTTTCATCCCAAAATTGACGGCTCCTTCCAATAATATTTTCATGTCTGTGGGACACTGGGTCAACCTCACGCCTTTTCTGAGCTTCAGCGTCACCATCTGCCAAATGGGGAAATAACAATAGTTACAGATGACAGCAGCTACCAGTATTCTTGCTTACTGCCTTACATGCAATATTTCATTTAATTCTCCCAACATTCTCTGATGTGATACTAATAATAATAAATAAATAATAATAATAAATTATAACAGTGGCTGACAGTTATGGTGCCACAGTGCACCAAAAGTATTAGGGAAAACACTGGGCACGGACCAATCATTTAATAATCCTTACAATCTGATTATGTTACCCATCTTACAGGTGACACACTGAGGCACAGAGAGGTTAATTAACTTGCCCAAGGTCAGTCAGCTAATAAGAGGCAGAGCCAGGATTTGAACTCAGGAGGCTGGCTCCATTGCATGGGTAGACTCTATAGTGAAGCCCATTTTCAGGCAAGCAAACCAAGGCTCAGAGGGGTAAGGGACTTTCTAGGGTGTCACAGCAAGTCGTGCCAGCCTCGGCAGATTGGCTCCTACCCGTGGTGCCAGCCTAGGGGCTGATAGAGGAGATGGTGGCTGTTAAAACTGGCTTTTGGGCACTGTAACTGGCAGGCAGACACCGTTGGGAAGGAGACGAGGCGCTAAGGACAGGAGGGCTTGAATGAAGAGGTTGGATGGAAACTCCAGTTGGGAACTCAGTGGAGAAACAAATAATCCCAGTCTGGTGGCACAGTAACAGAGTGTCTCCCTTGAGTACAGACGATACCTCTTTTTCTTTCTTTGGCCACACCGTGTGGCTTGCGGGATCTTAGTTCCCTGACCAGTGAAAGCGCTCAGACCTAACCACTGGACCGCCAGGGAATTCCTACAGATGTAACTCTTAAGGTGCTACTAGAATGGCCCCCATACTCCTGACTGTATTCCCACCTCTGTCAGCCCCATATATACAGAAACAGCAACTCCCCACCGCACACACACACCTCACACCCCAAATGTAGCTTACAGCAGCCAGGCCTTGCTCCCAAGATCCTCGATCGTTAACACAAAGTCAGTATCACCAAGGTTAAGAGCCCTAGAATGAGAGCTTCCAGGGTTCATCTCATCACTGTCATGTGCTTGGTGTGGGACCCTCGGGTGAGTTCTTTCACTGCTCTGAGCCTCAGTGTTCTCATCTGGAAAATGGGTACTGTAAGATGCACCTCTACCGCTCCAGGCTGTTGTGTGGGTTCAGTGAGATTGTATGTGAAGCTCACGGCATCAGGCCTGGCAGATAGTAAGCACTCAATAAACAATAGCTATTATTATTATTATTATTATCATCATCATTATTATTGCTACTGAGAATGTCACATTCCTGATTTACCATCCAGTGGTGATTCGCCCCAAGGAAATCATATCCCATCCACCTCTCTCTCACTTGGAGACAATGTCACAACTCAAAGACAGTTGTATTACATTTCTCACATGGACAGGCAACACCGTCACTCACAGAAAGGTGTCACCCAGCCAACATCCCATCCCTCCACAGGGGTCCCACTCCCAACCACACCCCTGCCATCTTGTCTTCCGCCAGCGACATCCTCACGCACATCCAACCCCAGCCTCCTCATACCTCCACAGGACACACCGATGCTTCCACCCCCGACCCCCAGACAAGAGCAGGAACCACGAGTACAACACCCCAACGTTGGTTCCCCCTGAAATATACTGTCACCAGAACAACACCTCTGCCGCATCCAATTCTGCCCTGTCTCCCAGATCGGAGCCACCTTTCGGGATCAACTCTGTATAAAGTGCCACTCTTCCCATAGCACCCCAAATCTTCTGGGTAGGTTAACATTATTTGTGGAGGTAGGGGAATATTGGTTACTTTTTGGAAACTTTTATAAGCATTCCTGAGGAGGGTGGGCACAAAAGGGAAGGGGGGACCAGAGACTCAAAATGACTAGAAAGTGGAAAGGCAGCTTGATCCCAAGGTGGAAATATTGAAATCACAGCAGAGGGGAACCCGGAGCGCTGAAGTTGGCGTCTTCATTTGCTGTCCTGTGTAGAGGGAGCTGCCTGGACCCCAAAGGAAAAGTGAAGGGAAGGGTGGGTGGGTGGAAAGTTCTGGCATCTAGATTTTGCTTTGGTAGAAGGAAGTACTTTTTCACAGGCAGAGCCTCGGTTTTTCAAACAGGGTGGGATGTGTGAGGTCTGGGGAGTCCGGGTTTAGCTGAGGTGAGGTCACGTGTCTGCCCTTTGCTACAAGGCAGGCTGGCAGATAAAGGCCTAGCTTCTTCCTGGGGGAGGTGGGCTTCCCACGGTGGGAGATGCAAAAGATTCTGAAGAAAACCAGAGCAGACTGTGGGCTACTATGGGGACTCCTGGGACTTAGAATCCTGAGCTTCTACAGGCGAGAGGAGGACTCTGGCCTCTGAGGAGGGGCCTCCAAACTTCCACTAGTCTGATATAAGGACTGCCAAGCGCCAACAAGGTGGTTTAAGGGGGTCCACGGACAAACTTTTTTGGAGGATCATTTTTAGTTTATATCAGTGTGCTTTGGGAGAAAAAAATATAACCAGCCCTTCAAACTGGGACTATTAGCAATGATTTTTTAAATGTCCTCTTTAAATAGATGCATTTACATTTTAAGAGGGAGTGGACTTAAAGGGCATGGACTGTCTGTCTTGTTCCCTGCTATGTCCCCAGGATCTAAAACAAGGCCTGGCACGTAGCAGATGCTCAGGAAGGATTTGTTGGAACGAGGGAGGGAAGAGGGAGAGAAGAAGCAAGGAAATAATAGTACAGAGGGATACAACAAGGGCCAAATTCGGGAAGAGAGTTACAGAGATGCTGGGAGGGTGAGTGGAAGCAGAGACTTGTTTCTATCAGTGAGAAGACATTCCTCCTCCAAAAAGCAGGGAGAAGCCTGGGGAAAGGTGATGAAGGAAGTGGGGTCTCCCCTCCTCCTGTTTCCTAACAAAACCCCAAACCTTGGAGGCTCATTTCCCCATTTACCAGTAAGTCTCTCTGACATAGAGCACTTACTGTGTACCAGACACTGTGATAAGAATTTTACCTGTGTTCGTGAAATAGGTAATATTAATAACGATGATGATGATATCTGACATTTCTCAAGTGGTCTGTGTGCCTGAGACCCTCCTAAGTACTTTACAGTTTAGCATTTCATTAATGATAATAACTCCAGGAACTAGCGCTCTCCTGTCCCCATTTTACAGATGAGAAAACAGAGGCCCAAAGAGGTGAGGAGACTCGCCCAAGGCCACACAACCCATCAGTGACAAAAGTTGCACTCAGTCTAGGGCTGTTTCTGCCATTTCATTTGGAGATTCTCAGACAAAACCTGAGGAAATGTGAAGGAGGGGAGTGGGGGGCGTCCCCAGTTTTCTTCAGAGCAGACGATTACCTTCCATCTTCAAGAGGGAAGCTGGGGAAGTGGCTCTGGCTGGAGAAAAGATGGGGAATGAAATCAAAGAAGGAAAGAGGATGGAGTTCTAGTGAGAGCACCTTCCCATCTTTCTGAACTTTCCAAAGGTGGAGAACTAACCCCCCAACTCTGTCAGGTTGAGGGGCAGGGCTGGCAAGGGGCCACCTCTGTGAGCCCAAGGAAGGAAGTAATTTGGAGGGGGGGAGGGTGCCAGGATGATTGATGGAAGGGCACCCTGGGGGGCTAATTACCTAATAGGCTTAGTGGTCTGCTTAGGCAAGTTTAAGAGGATTGCCTTGGGCTAAAGGAAACCCCTTAATTCTGGATCCCTCCCCATGCCTGCAAAGCCACATCCCGCCCTCATACCTCCATCTTCACACATCAGGGAACCCAGAACTTTCAATCTTAAGGGACCAGGTGGAGATGGGCATGACTCCCAGACCCCCAGTCCTGCCCCCACTTTTATTTTAAATTTTAAAATTTTTGGCCGCACGGTGAGGCATGCGGGATCTTAGTTCCCCCACCAGGGATCAAACCCGTGGCCCCTGCAGTGGAAGCACAGAGTCTTAGCCACTGGACCGCCAGGGAAGTCCCACCCTGCCCCCACTTTCAACAGAGCAGTTTCTCTTTTATCTGCTCTAGATGTTGGAGTTTCACGGGAGACATTGAAAATAGGTTTCCTTTGCTTAAAAGAAAAAGTTGAAAAACCAGTGGGGGATGATGGCCTAAGACCTTAAGCTTTGGAAGCAAAATGGCCTGGCTCGTCCCTTCCTTTTCCCAGTGTTTATTGCATGCCTACCAAGCGCTGGGCGCTGCATGAGTCCATGGACACAAGGGTGAGCTTCAGTGATGTGGCCCACACTGGATGACTGTGGTACATCGTTCCAAAGGCATGAGACAGAGGGATCCTTCCCCTCCTCAGGGTTCCAGTCCAAGAAGGGACATTTGAGGGGGGACCTGAAGGACAAGAGGGATTCACTGAGGGAGGGGAGTTCCAGGCAAAGAGAATGTGCAAAGGCCCTGAGGTGGGAGGGAGGAGGGAAGTTTGAGGAACAAAAAGGAAAATGTGTCTAGTGCACCTGGAGGAAGATGAGGGTTTGCAGCTGGAAATGTGGACGGGGGCCAAATCACAAAGTAACTTAGACTCAGAAAGTTCCCGAATGTCTACCCTAGGGGCGACAGTTTGGTTAGAAGGTGGGAAAGGTTAGGCACTTGCCTTGAGACTGCTTTAACAAAGGGCTTTACACGTGACCAAGAAAACTGGTCCATAACAAAGAATGACCAAAGCCCCATAAAGGGTCCTTGGTGCCACTTCACCACCTCTAGGTCTTTGAGTCTGTCCTGGAGCACATTGGTCTTTAGCTGCCAGCAGGGGAAAGTGTTAAGCATGGGTGGGCGAAAAATGAATCAGTTGCATTTGAATCTCAACCCAGCCACTGTCTTGGTGCCCTTGGGCCGGTACCTTCACTGCTCTGTACCGCTCTGTGCCTCAGTTTCTCCTCATGTAAAAATGGAGCTCATTCTACCCACCTCAGTGGACGGTTGTGAGGAATGGATGAGATCACGCTGGCAAAGCACTCAGCAGAGCACTGGCTCAGTAGTGAGTGTTAGAACCTCTCCGGAGTCCAGCCCTCCTCTCCCCTCCCCCTTCGCTGCTTCCACCAGTCAGACCACCGTCACTTCCTGCCTGGACCATTGCAGTTGCCTCATGCTCTTCCACCCATGCTTGTCGCAGTCTGCTCACCTCATGAGCATCAGAGGGATCTTCTTAAAATCTAAGACAGATCACATCCCTCCTCTGCTCAGAGCCTTCCCGTAGCTCTCATCTCACTTGGAATAAAAACCACCTTGGTCCACAAGCCTGAACACTCCACCACTACCTCCAACCCTCTCAGCCCTCATTTCTTCTAACTCTCCTCCTCTCTCACTCAGCCCCAGCAACACTGGCCACCTCTCTCTCACTCAAACAACGCAGGCATAACCCCATCCCAGGGCCTTTGCACTTGCTCTTCCTCCACATAGCCCCATAGTTCTGTTTCCTCCTCGACTGTCTGGAAACAGTGTATCATAATGGTTCAGAGCATGGACTCTGGAGCCAGGTGGGGTTCAGATCTCAGCCCTGCCACCTACTAGCTATGTGAACGGGAGCAATTTCTTCACCTTTGTTTACTTATCTGGAGAATGGGTTTTTTTTTAAAGTACCTCCCTCAGCCTCAGTGTGAAAATGAAAAAAAACTCGTATTTGTAAATTACTTGGAACAGAGTCTAGCGCATATTGGGTGCTATAGAAATGTTTGATGAACAAAGAATGCCGCATTCTTGGGGAAGGCTTTCCTGGCCATCGGATCTGACAGTGTAGCACCTACACTCCCCTTCCTCTTTCCTGCCTCTTTTTGTTTTCTTAGTACTTACCACCATCCGACAACGTAAAACATACTGTCTGTCTCCCCCCTCTAGAAGAGTGTAGCTGTGTGAGCTCTTGGCTGAATCACCAAAACTCTTTTGGCCTTATTTGCCTTATTTGCGAAATCAGGGAGCTTTGTCTGTTTTCTTCATGGCTGTTTCACTAGAACGGTGCCAAGCACGTAGCAGGTGCTCAGGAATTATTTGCGGAATGAATGAATAAATGAGCGAATGAAGATCATGGCGTGTTTTATTTTCCTACTGCTATTCTCTTGGTCATTGCTTCTCTGTGTTGCTGTGATCCCAGTGGTTTCCTAGCCCAGCCCATGCCAGTGCCTCCCTGGAGGTACCGTCCAAAGGTGAAGAGCCTTCTCCCCTGACTCCCGTCCCCTCTGTGTGCCCCTGCAGAGGAAGGCGAATACTTCCTGAAGGTGCTGATCCCCAGCTACGCGGCGGGCTCCATCATTGGCAAGGGCGGGCAGACCATCGTGCAGCTGCAGAAGGAGACGGGAGCTACCATCAAGCTCTCCAAGTCCAAAGACTTCTATCCGGGTGAGCCCCAGCCCAGCCCTCTTCCTCCGGCCTCCCATCCCTCCCACCTGGGCCCTCTAGGAGGGGGAAGGGCTGCCCTAGGGGCAGTGAGAGTGGTAGGGGGCCTCCCCTCCCCCTAAGGGGACAGAGCTGCCCTCGGCCCCAGGGGCCAGGCCTGAGCAGATGGGGGTGGGGGCAGGGCAAGACAATGGGGCTGCTGCATATTCATGAGCTCATTTGCATGATGTGCTGGCAGATGTGCCCCTTCCCACACACCTGCCCCTTTGGGTCAGTTGGAGGAGCTGGTGGGGGGGGGCCAAGGAGGCAGGTGTTAGGGTGTCCCTCAGGGCTTGGGGGGCCAGCCATGCATGTTACATAGACTCTTTCCCTTTGGATTTCTCTGTCACCCCATCTTGCCCCAATCTGAGTCGCTCTGGTTTTCCATCTGTGTCATTCTTTATGTGTCTCTCATCCTGTTTCTGACTTTCCCATCTCTTGTTCCCTTAGGCTCCATTCCCATCGGCTTCTCTCTGTCTCCTCCTGCTCTGCTTTCTGCTCTGTCTCTCTGGTTCTGTTTGGACATCCCCCATCTCTGTTCTCTTAGCCTCCCAGCCAGTCTGTCTGTCTTGGCTTTTTCCTCTTCCTCCCCTCTTCTTCCCTTCCCTTTCTGTCTTCCCATCTCTCTCCCCATATTTTCCTTTTCCCCCACTTCTCTTATTCTCACATTTTTCTCTGTCTTCCTCTCCCAACTCTCTCTGTTCAGTCACCCATTCAACCAGTAGTTGGTAGCGCCTCTCAATGGGGTCATTCTTTGCCGGCATTGCCCCTCATTTCTTTCTGCCCCTGCTTGCCCATCTCTCCCTTTATGTTTCTCTTTTTCTCCTAAGTCTCAGCTCCCTCGTCTTTTTTTTCTTCCCCTCTCTCCAAAATCAGCCCCTTTTCTGCCTCTCCTCCAGCTCTATCTCCCTTCCTTCAATCATAAATTTTTCCAGGCCCCTCCACTCTCTATAATCTCCCTCAATATCTCTCACCCCTTCATATATCCCTCCCAAGACCTATGCCTGAGTTTTGACATCTAGGAATCCAGGGAAGGCCCCCTGAACTGCATCTCTGGTCCAGCACTGGTTCTAGTTCATCCTTAATCCCCTTGGATTTTTTAGGTCAAACACCAGAGCTGGAGCCGAGGGTCAGGACAAATTCATATTCTCCCACTCTCTCTCTCTCTCTCTCTCTCTCTCTCTCTCTCTCTGTGTGTGTCTCTTTCTCTCTCTCTCTCCTCCCTCCACCCCCCTGCCTCCCATCTAACTAAGCAGCTTTGGCAAGAGGTTTAGAGAACAGTCCAGGGAACCTGGCACAACCCCCTTTTCTCTTCCTCCCTGGCCCAGTTTTCCTCCTCACTCCCCTAGCCCACAAGATACGGATGAGACCTCTGCTTGGGACTTTCATCCAAGGACACTTGGTTCCTTGCCCCTGGATCACATTCTGTGACATAACACATGTCATTCCCTCTCAACTCAGTGACACATCCCACTGGCCAGGCAGCCTAGAACCCCAGAGGATGGGACAGTCATTGTCTCTCTCCTGGGCTGAACACTGTTCAAACAAGCAACGTGAGCCAGCGTCTCTCCCCAGCCCCTGGATGTGCAGCCAGCCCCGCTCCCCACCCCCAAATTGGAACTTCCAGATCATACAGCATATACTAGCTCCTGGCTCAGAGATGCAGTACACAGCTCCCTACATCCTGGTCCTGTCCCTAGGACTTCCCAGGACCCACAGGAACGTAAGAAATGGAGATGCTACTGCTCAAGCATGTGTTCCTCTGCTCCTGGCTGATACCTTTCATTCATTCATTCAACATATATTCTCTGAGCATCTTCTCTATGCCAGCACCATACCGGACCGAGATGGGGACACAAGCAGTGACTGAGGCACCCCAGCCTAGCCCTCCCGGATCTCACATCCCAGTGGGGGAGATAAACCGAACACCATTGATGACCTAGAATGGTCAGAGCTGGGACAGGGAAACCCAGAGGATGGAGGGAGCCCAGACAGGGCACCCGACCCAGCCTGAGGAGATTAGGAAGGGCTTCCTGGAGGAGGAGGCCAGAATAATAAGAGTGAGCTAGGTAAGCAGCAGTGAAGGGTGCTCCAGGGAGATGAAAGAGCATGTTCAAAGGCTGGGGGTGGGGGTTAGTTTGTTCAGTGTGGCTGGTGAAAGGACAGGTAAAAACTGATAATAGAGACATTGAAAGGGTCCTCTGGGCCTAGTTGGTTCTGTCTCTCTCTCTCACACACACACACTGATGTGTCTACTCCATGAAACAAAAACCTACCTGGCCTTTACCCAAAGGGAGGGGTAGAACACACAAAGGGTGTCCCCTCCTTGATACAGAAACCCCAAGCCCCAGATTCAATCCTTCCCGGTCATACATGGAGAAACTTAGACCCAGAAGAGGCAGGTACCTGCCCAAAGCCACACAGTCTTCTGTGTAGCTCACCAGACATTCTAGTGATTCTAAAACTCCTCCTGATTTTGAGGAGCCGCCTGAAGCCCTGGACCCTAGCCCCAGAAGAAAAACGGACACATACACTTTTTAAATTTTTTTACTGATTTATAACATCTCTGCAGCCAAGTGCAAAATCTTAAGTGACTACTTAATAAATTCATACATATTCTTTTTTACCATCAAAAATACAAAAGCAGAATTGCAATCATTGTATGCCTCTCCCCACCACACACACACACACACTCCACCCACCCCACATTTAGCACAGGATGGCTCAATGGTTAAAAGCCCAGACTCTGAAGCCAGACACCTGGGTTCAAAACCCTGATCTTTCACTACTGGCTGAGTGAACTTGGACAAATCCCAGACCTCTGTGCCTTAGTGTCCTTAGCAGTAAATGAAGAATAATAATATTGCCTGCCTCATGTACTAAAGTGAACAAATACATATAAAGTGCTTAGAACGATGCCTGGCGATTGGTGTTATGTAAGCACCAGCTGTTATTATTAGATATTCTTTCAGGGTTAAACTGAGTCCCCCAAAGCCCCTGTGGACCCTGGTTAAGAACTACAAGTCTGTGAGATCACAGACTCCCTGAGCTGGAAGGAAGCCTCCCAGAGATGGAGAGCTGGGCCACTTCAGTCAGGCTCTCCCTGGGGCCACCCCACCCCCTAGTTCCCACCCTGACCCACACCCTTTCCTATTTACACCCAGACGGAGGCAGCCTGCACGCTGACTCACGCTTGGCTCAGACCAAGCCATTGTTCTGGGGTGGAGGGGAGTACGAGCGAGGAGCAGCGGCCCAAAGGAGATGGGGGATGTCAACTACCCCAGTGACCCAAGACAGTGACACTCAGACACATGGCGAGACTCGCTTGCGGGGCTGAGAGATAGCAAGCAAGGGGTCAGGGTGGTAACACTAGCATGCCACACTGGAATGCCCACAGGACACCAGACACTCACCCCCAAGTGTCCCAGACACACAGGCACACGGAGCCTGGAGCACACTCAGGACCTTTTACAGACCCAGGGAGTTAACTGGTCCTGCAGAGAGATTCCCACCCAGGATGAGACACACACACACACACCCCACACACCTAATACGTCCAAATCAGCCAGGCGCTCACAGCTTCACCCCGGCCAGGCTTGGTGGAGTCGTCTTTGTCTGTCTGTAATTCAGACACTCAGACACACACGAATACATCAGTCCTCCAAACAGTCTTACATACTGACCCCTGGGTCTGCCTGTTGGTCTCTTTCTCTTCCTCATGTTCACACACATCAGTCACAGAGTCTTGCCTGTTTCCTATACACGCACCCTTACACATATATGTGCATTCCACATACCACTCATCCAAGTAGTCTTTTGAACACCTAGGGGTGTCTGGATATCTCTTTCCCTTACACACACACACACACACACACACACACACACACAGAGTCATACAATCTCCAAGTGCTATACATTCATCGTACAGCCTCAATGCCACTTCCTGGGATTCTTTGTTTCTTACTCTCAAACCCTTGGGCACACCCAGCTCAAGTCTCACAAATAGTGTACATAACCTCAAACGTCACAGCGACACCCAAAGTCTTTCCCCCCACACAAGAGTACACATAAACGTCTTTACTGGAATCACTATGTCACAGAGTCTTTTTGTATCTCTGTCTCTCCTGCTTTTTCTTTTACACACACACATGCACACACACACACGTAAAGATAATTGAGCCAGTCCTGCCCAAGTATACACATGCACACACACACCACTCACCCAAACAGCCTCACAGATGTACTCACGCTGGTCAGTCAGTGTTACCCAGAGTCTCTCTCCCATACACATATATCCCAGCATCACCCAGAATTAGTGTCTCCTCTCCCTGCTGCCCACCCCCAATACACATAGTAAGGATGCCCAGGTCAGAACCACAGCCAATATCTGGAGAATCGCCAGCAAAGGCACCCACCTCACCCTGCTTTCTCCATCCCCCTGTCTCCACTCTTCCATGAGTTGCCTTTGCCCCACTCTGCTCTCCCCTCTTCACAGCCTTGCCCTCCCCCACCCCTCAGCCCTCCATCTGGTGGGTCCAGGCAGGCACTCAGGCCTCTCTGCTGTCTCCCCCATCCCCCAGCCCTTCCCCATCCTCTCCAAAAGCCCAGAGGCCGTTGCTGCAGGCTTTCAGGGGTTGCCATGGCAACGGGGCCTCATCCCTAGTCCCCCTGGGGGTGGGCTGAGGACCCAGCCAGCCACACCGATAAGGGGGTTCCAGTTACTGTGGCAACCGTTGCAGGCCTGAGCTCTCGGCTTCTAGAAGGTGGGGAGGGGGGAGTGAGTGAATGGTTGCCAAAGCAACCGAGAGAGCCGGCAAGGACTGGGAAGAGGCAGCTGAGCCCCGTCTCCCTTGCCCAGGGCTGCTGTGGGCATAGCAAAGTACTTAAGCATCATTCTTCCATCCCCTGGGGTGGTTTTAAGGGAGGGAGAGGAAGTGCAGATAATAAAACAGGGATTCCTCTCATTCTCCCAGCTACCCATCATGGTCTGGGAGCCCATGCCAGCTTGCCCAGGCTTATCAAGTGACCTGGGGCCAGTGAGGTCCACTCTCTGGACCTCAGTCTTCTCCGTCCATTAAATGGGGCCTGTCTCTCAGGAATGCTCCCCTTCCTGTCTGATGAGTGTGCCCTCTCTCTTCTTTGCTCAACAGGAACCACAGAGCGAGTATGCCTGGTACAGGGCACGGCAGAGGCCTTGAATGCTGTGCACAGCTTTATTGCCGAGAAGGTCCGAGAAATCCCACAAGCGATGACCAAGCCCGAGGTGGTCAATATCCTTCAACCCCAAACCACAATGAATCCTGACAGAGCCAAGCAGGTTAGCAGGGGCAGAGGCTGAGTCTCTGTAAAGCTGGTGGGGTTTGAGAGAAAACACTTCTTCCACGTCACTGGATTGTGATGGGGGTTCAATGGGATAATGGCTATAAAACATTTACCAGTCAGATACGTGGCAGTGGTTAGTATTATTGTTAGAGAGTCAGCCTAAGGACTCCAGACCTCTTAGAGTGATTTGATTCAGAGAGAGAGTGAAGGCCTGGGAGAATCTGACCCAGACCCCCTTACTTATTCCTCCTTCCTAGGATTCTCCAGATCCTCTTCTCTCTTCCACATCTTCCCATTGTCTCTCAAAACCACCCGCTTCCCACTTCCTGTTCTCACCGGAAGTAACCTCAGCGACACCCCCATCCATAGGCAGAAAATTTTAGAAGCAGCCTCCGGTACTCCCTCTCTCCATTAATGACTGAACAGGAGTAGCCACCATTTTGGAGAGAAGATGTTCCATTGGGCGGGGGCGGGTCCCTCTCCTACACAGCCCTCTCAAGGAGGGATGGAAGGAGAAGGGCAGAGCCTCTCTGTTGCCTCAGTTACCTGGAAGCCGTGGTGTAGGGGAGTGGCAAGGAGCTGACCGATCGCTTCCTGGGCCCCTCGCGTTGCCAAGACCACCATGCACACCGGGCAGGTGGGCTTGCTGCAAAGCCCCTGGCAGCACGGTCCTGACTGCATAGAAGGCCAAGGAGGAAGAGAGCACGGGGTTGGCTGCAGCAAACTCCCCGTTTTCTCTCCCCTTCCCCGCTCCCGTATACATGTGCACACCATGACCCGGGCAGGCGGACAGGCCACTTGTGAGGGTTCCTTAAAGTCTGCCTAAAAGCAAAGACAAGAGAGAGGGCCTCGGTAAAAGGAAGCTGGAATTCCTGGGAATTCTTTTTGCCCTGAGGTGGGGGAGACCACGGGTCTAAGTTTCTCTGAGCTCGTGGGGAAACAGTGGGCAGAAAGCTCTGGAAGAATGCTTCGGAGCGGAGCGTTCCCCGCAAAGACTGCGGGCTTGGGGCTTGGAGCGCGGCTGCTGTCCTTGGTGCTGAAGCATCTCTGCTCCTCGCGCCCTGCCAGGCCTCTCCCAAATCCCTTTCCACCAGCAGGCCACAGCTTACCCACAGTTTACAGGGAGGCGAGGATATTGCCTCTTCCCTCCGCCTTGGTCGTGGCCACTAGGGGCTCAGGGTTCATCAAGAGTTTGTACATGTTGCAGGGGAAATGGGGTCAGCACCGTCTGTGCTTGAGCCTCCCTCTCCACCACCTAAGCCACGGGAAGTCTGAAATAGCGGAGTCGAAAGGTTACAGAACCAGGACTTCTTCCTCTGCCTTATTACTCCGGGGCTCCAAAGAATGCGAGAGATAATGGCTGAAGGCTCAGGCTCTGGAATCAGATGTTGAGTTGAATTTTCCTCTGATGCTTCTTACCTGTGTGACCTTGAGCAGGTGACTTGATTTCTCCATGTAAAATGAGATTTATTATGGTACCCACTTAAGGGTGGTGGCTAGTGTTCATTAACATTTGAAAAGCACTTACCATGCATGCCTAATGTATAGAAAGTTCTCAAAACATGTTCGCCGTTGTCGTTATTATGGGATTTTTGAGTCAGGAGGCAGGTCTATTCCCTTTCTGCCTTGGACTTGCTGTGTTGCTCTGTGTCTTTTTCCCTTCTGTATGCCTCAGTTTCCCTTTCTTTACAGTGGGGAAGCTGGGCCGAGCCAGGGATTATAAATGGAAATGCCTCCAGGATTCGGAAAGGGAACATAAAGGATTGAGGACCTTGGACTCAACATAGAGATATCATGCCATCCCTAAAGGGGGCAGCTGCTATTCACCTTCACTTGATTCTTGCCATTTGGGAATGGGGACAGAGTATTACATCTTCCCCATTTTTCCAGAGAAGTCAAAAATATTTTAAATCAACTGATTTTTCAAGGTTGGCTCAGTTTTGAAAACACTGTGTGGCTGTGGGCCGGCTATGGGCTGAGCGTCACCAGTTTGCCACCTCTGGGCTAGACCGGCGATTCTCAGCCCTGGCTGGTATCTGAGTCATCTGGGTAGCTTAAAACACAGATTCCTGAGTCGTGGCCTGGAGCCGCTGAATCAGAGTTTCTGGGGAGAAGGCGTGGGGATCTGAACATGGACTCTGGCCTGGGATCAGATCCTGGCTCTACTGGTCACTATCTGTGTGACCTTAGGCAAGTTACTTAACGTCTCCGTGCCTCCGTTTCCCAATCTATAAAGTGTGATAATAACAGTACCTACCTTATAGGGTTGTTGCTAAAATTCAGTTAGTTACTATATGGAAGTATTTTAAAAAGTGCCTGGCACGTGGTAAGCACTGTTAGCGGCCACTGCTGTTATTGTTGTTGTTATTTATTATTATTTTTAAATCTCCAGACTTGCAAACCTCTGAGGCAGATGGTCTCTGAGGTCTTTCTGGCTCTAAGACACCTACAATTCTATGGCTCTGTGATTCCAAGATTCTAGACCTGTATTATTCTAACAGTCTACTGTTCTAACATCCAAGATTCCATAGAACTGCCCGTGCAGATCTAAGATGCTGTGGTCTTGCAATCTGGGCCTATCATGATGGCAGCTACTGTTTTCTGAGGGCTTCCCATGTGCCAGGCACTAAGGGATCATTTTAGTCATTGAATATTCTCAATAATTGTATAGAGTAGCTGTGGTTATGTCAATGTCAGAGATGAGGAAACGGAAGCACAGAGAGGTGAAGGCATTTGCTTTCACGGTTTCTTGGCGAACACAGTTCCTTGGATGAAAAGGTTCCATCCTTCCCCCATTGCTCTGAAATGCTGTATCACATACTAAATACCTCTTTACCCTTAGGCCTGGTTTTGTACATTTTTCTGTTCTATCCCCTTGACTTGTCAGACTTCTTTTTCTCCAATGATTTCTTTAAAATAACAGCTGTATTGAGATATAATTCACATACTGTAAAGTTCACCATTTTACAGTGTGTAATTCAGTGGTTTCAGTATATTCACAAGGTTGTGCATTGATCACCACTATGTAATTCTAAAACATTTTTACCACCCCAAAAAATGCCCCATAGCCATTAACAGTGATTTTCCATTCCCCCAGTGCCTCTGCCCCAGCCCCTTCCCACCATTAATCTACTTTTAGTGTCTATGGATTTCCCTATTCTGAATAGTTTATATAGATTGAATGATATTTCTGTGGCATTTTGAGTCTGGCTTCTTTCCCTTAGCATAATGTCTTCAAGATTCATCCATACTGGGAATTCCCTGGCGGTCCAATGGTTAGGACTCCACACTTTCACTGCCGAGGGCACGGGCTCAGTCCCTGGTCAGGGAACTTAGATCCCCACAAGCCACATGATGTGGCCAAAAAAAAAATTAAAAAAAAGATTCATCCATACTGTAGCATATAACAAAACTTCATTCCTTTTTATGGCCAAATAATATTTCACTGTATGGATATACCACATTTTGTCTATTCATCAGTTGATAGAAATTTGGGGTGTTTCTACTTTTTAGCTATTATGAATAATGCTGCTAATGAACATATGTGTGGATGTATGTTTTCAGTTCTCTTGGATATATACCTAGGGTGGAATTTGTAGGTCATATGATAAATCTACGTTTAACTTTTTGAAGAACCGCCAGACTGTTTTCCAAAGTGGCTGTACCACAGATGTGGGATTTAAATCCAGGTCCGCCCATGGGGATAACAATGACAACAACCATTTCATGTGTACCTACTATGGGCACATATTAATTGCCTGCTCTCATGGCATCCAGTGCTTGGCACATAGTAGGTGCTCAGCAAATGTTGCTTGTTTGAATGAATGGGTGATGACATGCCCATGGGGACCAAGCAGAAACATGACTGAGGGGAGGTAGTCTGGTGTAACCTGGCAGAGATAGGCACTATATGTCATCTGGAGGGCAGCCATACTCAGTTCTGGCTAATTGTGGCCATGCTTGAATTTCAAGCTCATCATTTCATGCATGATCTCTATTAGACCTCACAGTAATCCTATGGAAGAGGTATGAATGTCTCCATTTTATGGAAGAGAAAACTGAGTTTCCAAAAGATTAGGTCCCTTGCCCAGAATCAGTGGTGGAGCCAGGATCTGAACCCGAGCAGGTGCCTCCAGAGTCCAGGGCAGCTTTTCAGGGGTTTGTTTGCAACGGGCTGCAGACTGGTGGTCTGACTGCTACACAGTGGTTCTTAGACGTTTTGAAGTGGTTACCAACATTTAAAAACTAGGCCGCTTCACATTTTACAAGTCAGAATTGCCAGTTAATCTGTAAAACTCATATCAGGCTGAATTTGAATATCACACACACACACACAGACCACCACCACCAGGTGAGATGCACCTGGCTGCCTACACCCAGTCCCATTCCTGCTTGGTCCTTTGGGCATTTCATCATCCATTCTTTCATCCAGCCATTCATTCACCCACTCTTGGCTGAGTATGTGCCAGGCATTCCTCTAGGCACTGAGAACCCAGCAGTAAACAATACAGACACAAATCTCTACCCTTGTGGATCTTAAAATTCTTCCTGGAGAATCAGAAAATAAGTAAATAAATAAAATGTATAGGATGTCAGAGTGAAAAGTATTATGAAGAAAAGACAGAGAAAAAGGAAAGGAAGTATTGGGGCCTTTTTTTCTCTTAACTTTTTTTTTTTTTTTTTTTTTGCGGTACGCGGGCCTCTCACTGTTGTGGCCTCTCCCATTGAGGAGCACAGGCTCCGGACGCGCAGGCTCAGCGGCCATGGCTCACGGGCCCAGCCGCTCCGTGGCATGTGGGATCTTCCCGGACCGGGGAACGAACCCGTGTCCCCTGCATCGGCAGGCGGACTCTTAACCACTGCGCCAGCAGGGAGGCCCCCTCTCTTAACTTTTTATTTGGAAAATGTTTAAAGAACGTTACAATGAACTCCCTATACACTGCACTTAGATTCACCAATTGTTAACACATGTTTTATCTCTACACACACACACACACACACACACACACACACACGTTGTTTTTTTGGGTTTTTTTTGTTGATCTATTTGAAAATAAGTTGTAGATCTCATGACTCTTCACCTCTAAATACTTCAGTATATATCTCCCAAGAACAAGGACAGTCTCCTATGTTATTATATTACTATTATCACACCTATAAAAATTAACACTGAATTCATATTATTTAATAAAAAGTCCATATTCAGATTACCCCAAAATATCTTTTATATCTATAAAGTATTTTTATTAAAGATTCAGTTAATGTTCATGCGTTGCATTTGGTTGTTATACCTCCTTAATCTCTTTTAATCTAGCATAGCCTAGGATATAGTTTTGAAGGTAGAGCCAACAGAATTGCTGATTGGATGCTGAGTGTAAAGGAAAGAGAGGACTTCTAAGGGTTGGGACTGAGTAGTGGAAGGATGCATTTCCATGTGCTGAAATGAGGAACACCATGGCAGAAACACATTTGAGGAGGAAGATGAGATTTTAAGTTTGAGGTGTCCACTCAGCATCATACTAGAGATGTGAGGTTAGCAGTTATGAGTCTGGAGGTATCCATGCTGGAGATGTAAAATAAACACAGACAAGCTTTGATAATCAGGTGGTCAGGGAAGGCCCTTCTGGGGAGGTGCATTTGTGCAATGAATGAAGAGAGGGGCGAGCCGTCTTTTCTGGGGAAAAGCATTCCAGGTGAGGGAACAGCAGGTGCAAAGTCCCTGAGTCTGGGCAGAGCTTGGCAAGTTGGAGGAACAGCAGGGAGTCTGGTGTGTCTGCAGTGGAGCCAGCAAGAGGGAGGGGAGAGTGAAGTCAGAGAGATCAACAGGGAACAGAGCATGTCAGAGCAGTGGTTCTCAGCCCTGTTTGCCTGTTTGAAGGGAGCCAATGTCCCCTTTCTCCTACAAATATTTTCCTATGCCCACTTTACTCTCTGAAATTATATATATAATATGTCTATTTGTATAAATAAAAAACATATCTGGGGCTTCCTTGATGGCACAGTAGTTAAGAATCCGCCTGCCAATGCAGGGTACACGGGTTTGATCCCTGGTCCGGGAAGATCCCACATGCCGTGGTGCAACTAAGCCCGTGTGCCACAACTACTGAGCCTACGCTCTAGAGCTCGTGAGCCACAACTACTGAAGCCCGCGTGCCACAACTACTGAAGCCCACGCGCCTAGAGCCTGTGCTCCACAACAAGAGAAGCCACCGCAATGAGAAGCCCGCGCATCGCAAGGAAGAGTAGAGAAAGCCCGCGCGCAGCAACGAAGACCCAACGCAGACATAAATAAATAAATAAATAAATAAAAATAATTTTTTTTTTTTTTTTTTTTTGCGGTACGCGGGCCTCTCACTGTTGTGGCCTCTCCCGTTGAGGAGCACAGGCTCCGGACGCGCAGGCTCAGCAGCCGTGGCTCACGAGCCCAGCTGCTCCGCGGCATGTGGGATCTTCCCGGACCGGGGCACGAACCCGTGTCCCCTGCATTGGCAGGCGGACTCTCAACCACTGCGCCACCAGGGAAGCCCAAAATAAATTTATTTTTTAAAAAATCTATAAGATTTTTTAAAATTTATTTATTTATTTTTGGCTGCGTTGGGTCTTCGTTGCTGCACAGGCTTTCTCTAGTTGCGGCGAGCGGGGGCTTCTCATTGGGGAGCACGGGCGCTAGGTGCGTGGGCTTCAGTAGTTGTGGCACGCGGGCTCAGTAGTTGTGGCACACGGGCTCAGTAGTTGTGGCACGCAGGCTCAGTAGTTGTGGCTCGCGGGCTCTAGAGCTCAGGCTCAGTAGTTGTGGCGCACGGGCTTAGGTGCTCCGTGGCATGTGGGATCGTCCCGGACCAGGGTTCGAACCTGTTGTCCCCTGCATTGGCAGGCGGATTCTTAACCACTGCACCACCAGGGAAGCCCTATTAGATTTTTAACAGTTTTATTGAGATATAATTCACATAAATACATTTGACCCATTTAAAGTGTGCAGTTCAACGGCTTTATTATATTCAGAGTCCGGCATCCATCACCGCAATCAATTTTAGAACATTTCATTTCCTCAAAAGGAAACCTTGATCCCCTTAGCTATCACCCCTCAGTCCTCCCAGCTCTCCCCACCCCAGCCCTCAGCCACCACTAATCTACTTTGTCTCTATAGATTTGACTATTCTGAACATGCACAGAAATGGAATTATACAATATGTGGTCTGTTGTACCTTACTTCGTTCATGCAGCATAATATTTTCTAGGCTCATCCATGTTGTAGCATGCATCAGTCCTTCATTTCATTTAAATTGATTACCAAATAATATTCCATTGTACGGATGGACATTTTCTATATCCCATAAGACTTTCAAATAAAGGAGAGATGAAAGGAAGGTTATTTGTTATAAAATAAGGTGAATTTTAATATGTAAATACTCAGCCAGGGCCACAGTAGAAATAAATAATGAAACAGTCAGCTGCTCACGCCTGACGTGGCCTGAGTGAGACAGAGCGTAGTATTGGAGACTTAAATGATACAGGCATTACTCCTATGTCATGGTTTTCTTTTTTTTAATTGAAGTATAGTTGATTTACAGTGTTGTGTTAATTTCTGCTGTACAGCAAAGTGATTCAGTTATACATATATATACATTCCCTTTTGTATTCTTTTCCATTATGGTTTATGACAGGATATTGAATATAGCGCCCTGTGCTATACAGGAGGACCTTTTTGTTTATCCATTCTATATATAATAGCTTGCATGATGTCATGGTTTTCTAAAATGATGAACGACTCTTGGTAAAATTCAGAACAAAATAAAGTACAATCTTCCCTTGATTTACCAATAGTTACATCCCTGGAAATTTCAGTAGATCTTAAAACCGTGCAAAAGAAAAAACTACTTGGTACTTAACATGTATCATGGGGCTCAGTTCTGGCTGCGAGATTTATAAACAGACTTCTCACCAACATGAATGTCCAGGGGGACATTCAAAAGTCGTACAGGACCTGGGACTGTTCTTCATTGTGAGGAACTGACTCACATTATGGGGTGCAAACATCCCTGACCCTGCCCACTGCATGCCCGCATCTGTCCCCAGTTATTGCAGACAACCAAAACCGCTCCCACAATTTTCCTAACACCCCCAGGATCTGGCTTGGGGGTGGAAAGGAGAGGCAGAGATGAAAGCTTCAGAGGGTAGAATCCACAGGTCTGAGGGGACGTGAGAAGGATTGAGGAGGAATTTGTGTGTAAAAATGCACTTGGAGATGTGAAAGGAGATGTTTGGTTTTGAAATATCCCCACTGGACTCAGGATTGATACGGGGGCTTCCCTGGTGGCGCAGTGGTTAAGAATCCGCCTGCCAATGCAGGGGACATGGGTTCGAGCCCTGGTCCGGGAAGATCCCACATGCCACGGAACAGCTAAGCCCGTGAACCACAACTGCTGAGCCTGCACTCTACAGTCTGCATGCCACAACTACTGCGCCCACGTGCCACAACTACTGAAGCCCGCGCACCTAGAGCCCGTGCTCCGCAACAAGAGAAGTCACGGCAATGAGAAGCCCACGCACCGCAACGAAGAGTAGCCCCCGCTCACCGCAACTAAAAGAAAACCCGCACACAGCGACGAGGACCCAAAGCAGCCAAAAATAAAAAATAAATAAATTATTAAAAAATGATCCGATTTGTAGCTGCAAAGGATGGGCTGCTCTACAACTGAGAAGGGGGACCCTCATATGTAAGTGACCAATTTTCTCCATCTTCTCTGATGTAAGCTTTTTTTATCATCATTTTGCAGATAAGACAACTATATTAGATTGCTAGAGCTGTCAAAACAAAGTACCACGAACTGGGTGGCTTAAACAACAGAAACTCATTGTCTCACAATTCTGGAGGCTAGAAATCTGAACTCAAGGCATCGGCAGTGCTGGTTTCTTCTGAGGCCTCTGTCCTTGGCTTGTAGATAGCCATTGTCTCTCTGTCTTTTTTTTGCGGGGCAGGGGGCCCGCGCCACACAGCTTGCAAGATCTCAGTTCCCTGACCAGCGATTGAACCTGGGCCACGGCAGTGAAAGCCTGGAATCCTAACCACTAGGCCACCAGGGAGCTCCCCCTCTCTGTCTTCACATGGTCCTCCCCCTGTGTGTGTCTGTGTCCTAATCTCTTCTTCTTATAAGGACACCAACCGTATTGGATTAGGGTCCACCCTAATGACCTCACTTAACCTTAAATGCCTCTTTAAATACCCTATCTCCATATACAATCATATTCTGAGGTATTAGGGGTTATGACTTCAACATGTGAATTGGGGTGGGAGGGGACAGCAATTCAGCTCATAACAACAATGAAGAGCTTAAGCGAAGTGACCACGTCATAGGGTGGAAAGCACAATGGAGCAGGAATCCACGAGGCTGGATTTCAGTTCCTTCGCTGTCTGGGTGACCTTGGGGCAAGTCCCTTCACCTCTTAGGCCTCAAGTGGCTCATCTGCAAAGTGAGACTAATGATGCCTTTTCTGGGGCTGGGAATCGGAGTACTTAATGATATAGAAGGACATGGGCACCAGTGCAAGATTGGAGAGAGGTCCTGGAGGGCTCCCACTGGGTTAGTCTTTCAGCTTCTAGGTGCCGGATGGAAGGGAGGTCCCAGGGGTCCCAGGAACAGGGTGGCTGAGAGGCTACTGAGGAGAGATGGAGTACTAGCTCCTTTTTTTTTTACCAATGAATATGGAAATATTTCAATATTTCTAACCAGTAGAATCATACTGGTGCATATCAAGGGGGCGTGCTGGGCCTGATTCTGGACATTTGAGAGCAGGGGTGGGAAATGACTTGAGATGGCCAGTCTTAGACTAACGTTGCCTTTCAGTGTCCGATTACCCCCCTAAAGACCCTCCCTCTGGCTCCCCACGCAGGCCAAGCTGATCGTCCCCAACAGCACGGCGGGCCTGATCATAGGCAAGGGGGGCGCGACAGTGAAAGCCGTGATGGAACAGTCGGGTGCTTGGGTGCAGCTGTCCCAGAAGCCGGAGGGCATCAACCTGCAGGAGCGCGTGGTGACGGTCAGCGGCGAACCGGAGCAGGTGCACAAGGCCGTGAGCGCCATCGTGCAGAAGGTACAGGAAGATCCCCAGAGCAGCAGCTGCCTGAATATCAGCTACGCCAACGTGGCTGGCCCTGTGGCCAACTCCAACCCCACCGGCTCGCCGTACGCCAGCCCCGCGGATGTGCTGCCCGCCGCTGCCGCCGCCTCGGCCGCTGCCGCCTCTGGCCTGCTGGGCCCGGCGGGGTTGGCGGGCGTGGGAGCCTTTCCTGCCGCCCTGCCTGCCTTCTCGGGCACCGACCTGCTGGCCATCAGCACGGCGCTTAACACGCTGGCCAGTTACGGCTACAACACCAACTCCCTCGGCCTGGGCCTCAACTCGGCCGCAGCCTCTGGGGTCCTGGCCGCTGTGGCCGCCGGTGCCAACCCTGCCGCTGCCGCCGCCGCCAATCTCCTGGCATCCTACGCCGGGGAAGCAGGGGCCGGGCCAGCGGGCGGAGCTGCTCCACCCCCACCCCCGCCACCTGGAGCCCTGGGGTCCTTCGCCTTGGCCGCGGCCGCCAACGGCTACCTCGGGGCCGGGGCGGGCGGCGGGGCGGGCGGAGGGGGTGGCCCGCTGGTGGCCGCGGCAGCCGCAGCGGGGGCGGCTGGGGGCTTCCTGACGGCGGAGAAGTTGGCGGCTGAGAGCGCCAAGGAGCTGGTGGAGATTGCGGTGCCTGAGAACCTGGTGGGAGCCATCCTGGGCAAGGGGGGCAAGACGTTGGTGGAGTACCAGGAGCTGACAGGCGCCCGCATCCAGATCTCCAAGAAGGGAGAGTTCCTGCCAGGCACGCGGAACCGGCGGGTCACCATCACCGGCAGCCCCGCGGCCACGCAAGCCGCTCAATACCTCATCAGCCAGCGGGTCACCTACGAGCAGGGAGTGAGGGCCTCAAACCCCCAGAAAGTGGGATGAGGCCAGTGGTGTGTGCTCCCACCCGGCTCCCTGTCCCTCCTTTTCCTCCCCCTCCCCCTCCTTCTCCCCCCTCCCCTGCCCCCCAACTCCTGACCTCAGCTCGGTAGAGTCCTGCTCCTCTTGGGATGGGGCTGGGGTAGGCCTGACTGCACCCCCCCTTTCTGGTAGTCATAGGCAGGATTGAGTGATGGCTGGGGATGGGGCCCAGAAGCTCCCTCCCCAGCCCTGAACTGACCCCTTCTTCCTTCCTCCCTATGCTTGACTGGGCCTGACCCTCCTCTCCCAGGGCCCAGGTCTGTGTGATATCTGTATATATTGCATTTTGTTGATTTTAATAGAAAACAAAGCGTTATTTTCTCTTTCTTTCCCTCCTTTTTTTCCCCTCCTTTGATAAGGATTTCCCCCCCGCCCCTTTATAAGTTTTTGTTTCCATATGGGAGGAGGGGAGGGAGCCTCTGGGTCACCTAGAAAGAGGGGCTGCCCCAAAACAACACCCCGCCTCTCCTGCTTTCAGCTCCGGATCTGAGGGACCTGATGGGAGCAGAGGTAGCAGAGGAGTCTGAGTTGAAGTGGGGCATTTGGAGCAGGGACCTCAGAGTTCCCAGATTTTCTCAGCTACTCTCCCCTCACTGAAGTTGCCCCTCCTAGGTGGGACTTTTCACTTTTTTGTTGTCAGGTTGTATGGGGGGAGGGGTGCGGTGCTGCTGGGAATGAGGCCGGCTCTGGGATTGGGCCAGTCCGGTGGGCAAGGCTCTGGCACAAGGCTGGAACAACTTCCTATGGCATCTCCTATGGTTTTTCCTTGAGTAATGGGCATGAAGGTCCCTGTCGTGCTGTCACTGAGTCAAGTACTTTCTGGGGTGCTTCTGGCACTCCCTATGATGTCACAGGAAGTAGTTCCCTGGAGGTCACTTCCTGTGATGATAGGAGAGACAGGTACTTCCTATGATGTCTCAATGAGCCTTCCTGGAAGGTTACTTCATGATATCATGGGGGCGTGTACTTCCTGTGGTGTCTCCAGGTTACTTCCTATGATGTCACCAGGGTGAGGCATGCACTTCCCGTATCAGGCCATGGCCAGTCACTGATCCTCCTTCTCTACCCACACCGCTCTTTGGTGGGTCTTGGCCTGGCGGTCTTCCTAGGAGGAGAATAAGGGGTGGGAGTTGGATCTAATCTGGAGGACTCTAAGGAAGATGACCCACTATTGTCAGGGTCATCTCCATGCAAATGTACCAAGTCTGAACTCACCTGGCAGGGAGGGGGTGGGAGATGGAGCTGGTGAAAACTGTTAAAGACCCTCATTCCCACCCCTGCCTTTTGTGTGCATGCTTGTGTCTGTGTGGCTTTGTTTCATTAAGTCTGGTGGGCCAAATGTATGGTGGCTCTGTCAGGCCACGGTGGCCCAGGTGTATTCAGTGAGCCATGGTAGGGTCCCTTGAGCCGGAATGCTTCGTGTAGTCTAATGCATTAGTTGACTTGTGGTTTCCAGCAAGCTGGAGTACTTTGGTGGTATCTGATGGATTGGAATGTTTTGGTGCTCTCACCAGGCTCTGAGGATCTAGAATGTTCTAATGGAGTTTGCCAAGCCAGGCAGCCCTGAGAGTTGGTTTGAGAGTGGCTCCCTGGGCACTGCGGCTGTGATCAGCTCTAAGGCCTTGCTGGCAGGCTGAGATGTCGGGGCCTGACAACCCCATGGACTTAGGATAGCTGAGACCCACTTCTACCCCCATCCATCTCCCCCTCCCCGCTGGAGACCACCTCCACTTCCTCCAACCCAAGGCAGGGCCTCCCAGTGCCCTGGTTCCATCATCAGCATCTCTGGGGGAGGGGCACCCCATGCCCACCCTCTCCCCCAATTGTCCCCCTCCTAGGTCTTCCAGACCCTTCTCTTCTCCATGGCTTTGGGGGAATCCAGCCTCCTCGTCTCTCTCCCAGCAAAGGAGGGGAGAAAAGCCAGAAACAATTCCCACCCCTAAAGCCTGGGAGACCCCTGCCCCTTGCGAGAGAGCCACCCCCAAATCAAAATGTGAAAATCCCTAGAAAGCAATAGCCTTCAAGGTACCTTGCACTGAATTTCCCACCCCAGCCCTTCCACCTGATGGGAGGCTGTAGCTTGGGCACTAGGGTGACTTTTTCCCTGCCCTCTTCATCTCCAGGGTGGGGGGCAGGCCCCATTTCCCCATCCCTCACCTCCCATCGCTGCTGCCCTCACCCCTAATCTCCAGACTGAACCCAGATGGAGATTTGAGTGCCAAAACAATTCTTGATGTAACTTTGTACATATCTTCTGCAGTTGGGGGCTCTTGGGGCTGGAGGTGGAGGTGGCCCTATGGGCCACTGCTCCCCTCCACCTCTCAAAAGACCTTACAGTATTTCACAACATCTCCACCCACATGTGGGTATTGCAGTATCTAGCTGGACTATCCCCACCTACAACTCCCCGAGCCGCCATAAGGAGGGGAAGGAGCCAGGGAGAGGTGAAGTAAGGTCTGGGAGTGGGGAGGTGGGATTTGAAAGCACTCATTTGCATCCACAGCTGCCTTCCGGCTTGTCAGATGCTTTCTGTAGACCTATTTCTGGGTCCCAGTCAGTGGGGTCCAGTACTCTTCTCACACAGACACGTCTCTGGAGGCTGGGCCTCCTGAAAAGTGTTCCCTTGGTGTATCTGTGTGACAGCCCCCTCCCTATTCACATTTTTCGGGGACCCCCTACCCCGCCAGCCAGGGCTATCTGAAAGGTAGTTTGCTAGCTCAGTGAGCTAGTTCACTCACTATGTTGGTGAGTGGAGAGCCACACACCTTTCCCCATTTTACCTTATGAAATTCACTCTGTGGTCTTCCCCATCCCTTGAAAGTACCTTCTGCAATCTGACCTCAATCTTCTGTGCTGCAGTTTGTCCAGAGGGGACGCAGATGTGGGGTCAGGGATGGGGATCATTGGAAAATCCATCACCTCTTTTTCTCTCCCCCTCTTCCCTGTTAGCCAGTCAGATCTCAGAGACTCTGAGTGGCCTCCCTGCACCCTACTCTTCAGCACCCAGTAGGTGCTTAATAAGTGTTTGCTGCATTGAATTGTCTTCTTGTTCTTTCCCATTTGCCCTCCAACTCCCACCCACCCCCACCCTGCCACCAGCATTTTCCTCTCTCTCTGGCTCCCTATGACTTTCACTTTCTCTCCCTGTGGCTTCCGTTGTTACCTGTCCTGTCTCTATCTTCGTCTATGTCTGTCTTTTCCCTTTCCTCAACTCTCAACCCTCTCCCTTCTTCCATTGCCCCATTAATTGAAAAAGAAAAGTGCCAAACTTCCTTGGAACTGAGCCGCTCTGGGGGGGAGGGAACCTCAGACAGAGGGGAGGAAATGGGACCATCTTCCTTTGAAGAGGCCCCTAAGAGGCATTGAAAACGTCTGTGGACACTTAGCTCAATTGCGTCCCCCTTCCTCACCCCTCCCGCCCCCGAGTTTTTCTTAGAATCTTTGTAAGAAAAAAAAAAAGAGAAAAAAACTCTCCTTCAGCTAACCCCTAATCTTTTGGATTCCCCCCAATTTCCACCAGCCGGGGAGAACCCCACTTGCCTCCTTCAGGCAAATCTGTAGAAATTGGGGAGGGGGAGACAAGCTCCACCCCTCCTCTGCTGTCCTGAGGGACAGTGCCAACTGGATTCGAGAGAAGGACCTCAAAGCACTTATGAGAAGAAGGGGTTCAATGTGCCAAATTCACCTCCTTCATCCCCTGTCCCAGGGGGCTCTGAGCCAACCTGCCCCAGCCACCTTCTTCCGCCCTCTCCCAGCCATCTCTACATGGGCAAGGAGGCTTCACTGCAATAATTATTAAGGGATCAGAAGGCAAAGATCGTGCCATCTTTATCTGCCCTAATGCCTGCCCTGGCCTTGTAGGTGGGAAGTATGGGTATCCCAAATGGAGTTTGGTTAAGAGTCGACTTAATAGATGGTTGCGGACCTATACTTGGAAGAATACGGTACCACTCTTCTCTGAGTGGTATACCTTCTCCCCTTCTTAACCCGCAAATCACTCAACATCCCCTTGTTCCGTTTCTCCTGCCTATTCCTCCATCCCCCACCCTCTTTATTTTGTTTCTGATTGGTGGCCTACTGTTTGGAAAGTGAGAGGATTCCCCTGCGTTGAGTATTGCTCTGTCAAGACCAGGATTAGACGTTGTGATAGACTGAGAGGTGGAAAAAGTATTGAGGATAAGAGTGGCGATGAGGATGGCATTTGGGGCTTCCAGGCTGCTGATTGGGTGCACACCTATCACCACAGCCAGGCAGGCCTTCGCTGTTGGCCACGCACCTGCCCCCCTGCCGTCTGGAACCCCAAGGCCGGCTGTCGCGAAAGCCTGAACTGGATGTCACGATGGGGAGAACGGGATCGCGATGCCCACGTTGGGGCACTGCGGGCCAGGGGCGCTGGTTTTACGGCTCTCGTGGAGTCGCGACACCCAGCCCGGCTATCGCGATCCCTCTCCACTGCAGTCAGCCGCCTGGACGCCGTAGTGGAGGAGGTTTCTTTCCGTGGCTCCGCTGCAGGTGTGTGTATGGTCTCTGTGCCCTCCGCCCGTTGCGTGGGGGATTGCTGGGTGGCAGGGAGGGAGATGGGGAAAGTCTCGTTGATGGCGATGGGGGTGGTGAAGGCTGCTGCTTTTTAAACCCTTCTCAGCCAGTCCAGGACGCTCTTGTCTCCCAGAGATAATTGGGTGGGACCGCCTAATCCCCTCCCCTCCCCGCTTCTCCTCTCCTCCCCCACCCCCAAAACCACCAACCTCTCATCTTCTAAGTGACTCCATCACCACCGGCCACCGGGACCTGCGGCTTCATTGCTCCAGCCCGCCCCACTCGACCGTCAGACTCGCTCATCGAACTCTTTCTGATTAACCCTTTCTGTGTTCATCCCACGGAAAACTGTGTGTCCGGCGTGGGGGAGGGGGGAGGCGAGGGGCAATAGCTACCTTTCCTCCATCGCCTCCCACCGCCCATGCCTCCCCACCCGCACCCCATCCCATGCCCCACCCCCATCCCTCACCCCGAAGGTCCTCCCCGGCCTGGGGATAGAGACCCTTTATAAATATCTATGCTGTTTGGCTTTGTCCCTTTCAAAGGCAGGGTCAGGGGTGTGGCCTGCTCCAAGTGGAGAGCTCACTCTGGCCCCACTCCTTTCTGTGCCCCCCCACTCCCCACCCCTTCATTGTAAATAGTCACTTTTGTACTGGTTTGAGCCAGGGGACGTGGGGAATCATTTTTTTTTCTTTCTTTGTGTTGGCATCTCAGGCCACTGGAGGCATGGCCCACATCCCAGCTTGATTTGGGAGAATCCCAAGATGTGTCCCCTCACCTGCCCCCAATGCTGAGGATTTCAAGATATCAGAATTACTCCTAAAGGGATGGGGTGCACAGATCCCCTGGCAGGGAGGTGGGAGATGTGTGAAAAGGTGTAGCCTGAAAGGATGACTCAGTTTTTCCCATCTGTGAAATGGGTTCGTCCTCCAAGTTCCCTCAGGAGCCTCAGTGAGATAATGGTGGAGTCAGAGGAGTTAGAATCTCTTTCCGCTTTCTCTGTTTGGGACAGATAGGGTAGGAGAAGAATGGGGGTGGTGGGTAGGACTGTCTTTGGAGAGCTGATTGCTAAATCCTTATTAGGACCTCAAGCTAGCTTCTCCCGGGCTTGTTCTCTCTCTTGGAAAATGGAGGGAACTGGAGGACCTCTAAGGCTCCTTGGGTACCCCCAGTCCTTAGATTCAAAGCCTGAAGCCCAGGGCTGGCCCCCTGCCTGCTGCCCCTCTCCCACATTCCACTTCTTGGCCCCAGACCATCTGCCATGTGGCCATGCCTCCAGTGCCTCCATTCAACCCCCTCTAACTGATTCCTTCCATCCTCTGCGACCAGAGACGCCGCCCACCTCCCACCCACCACCTCCAGAAGCTCCTGGCTGGGGCCCACTGCCCTCTCCTCTCTCCTCCCCCCATTGCCATGCCTGGGCCATGCCCACCTCCCCACCCCACCCCCAGTGTCCGTCGTGTGACCTAGTGCACCATGTATTAGCTTCCATGGCCCCCCCCGGCCCCCACCACACCCCTTCCCCCACCCCCTCTCCCTCGGCGACTTCACCTTTTTTTGCCGCGATAAACGCCATCTCAGCATCTGTGTCTAATGTTGTCTTTTTTGCTTGACATCACACACTCCTTCTTAACCCATCCCCTTCCCTCTCCCTCCTCCCCCCACCTCCACCCTCATCCTGAATTCTTTCCCCCTTTCCCCCAGGGCTCTGGGCATCTAAGGGAGGAGGGTGGGGGGACCCCTGAGGATGGGCCCCGGAGGGGGGAGGGGGAGGGGCGGATTGTTCTCTCTGGACTGGGTGAGCACCCAGAGCAAGTGTCTGAGGGGAGCCAGGGATCCAGGTTGAGCTCCCAGGGCCTAAGTGTCCAATCAGGAGGATTGACAGACATCACCACCGCCACACACATGCAACACCACAATCCCGGGACGCACATCCCCACACAGCATTGCAAATGCACAACCCCAAGTAGAGTCAGGAGAGCCCAGGGTTAAGGTTTTGGAGTCAGGTGAGTTTAGATCCCAGTGCTACTAGGTAACCGTGGGACTTTGAGCCTCTGAGCCTCCATTGAACTTTTTTTTTTTAATGTTATTTCTGTAGTTTATGCTAGGATTCAACATATCATTAGCTTTAAAAAAAATTATTGAGCACCTACTATGAGTAAGGCACTGTTCTAGGTGCTGGAGAGAAGGCAATTAGCAAAACAGACTCAAATGTCTGTGCCCTCATGCAGCAGAGATTCTACTGGAATCTGGAGATTCTTCTTTAGCACAGAACCTGGCACAAGGGACTAAAAACAATTCAAAGGTTGCAAACCATTGGCCAGCAGACAGGTCTGCTGCACATATCACCTCGTTTGGCTTGAAGAGCGTTTCGTGTGAATTTGGTGCCAGCATTTAAACCTTGGGAGACTTCGCCTACACATGTGCCCCTTTGGAGAAATCAGATGTGGCCTCTCTGAGTGGCGATTGTCAACTAGCCATAATGGGCTGGAGCAGAGCAGTCACTCCATCATCCAGGGAAGGCAGCCTCAGTCCCTCCCTGACCTGCACTGCTGATTTATGTCCTGTGCCTGGCCCCTGGATGCATTTGTGTTTGCAACCCCTGTGGTAAATGTTTAATGCTAACATCCTTATATCTTGGAGGTGTCAGAGATGCAGCTGGGCAGGCGATGATGTGCCACGCAGGAGGAAGGATGAAGTTTGAGGCGGAGAGACAAAAAGAGACGGCTGTGGGGGGGGGGGCGCAGAGGCTGTGGTTCCGGTGTGACCAGGGCACCTCGCTTCCTCTCTCTGGGTCTCAGTCTCCACATCTGGAAAACGCCCGACCAAGCTATACTTACCTTCTGAAATATTCCAGAAGGATTCCGAAAGCAAATCGCTCCATCAGCACCTGACACGGGGGAGATGCTCAGCACATGGTGGCCACTGGAGCATCCCCTCCAGCTGAAAAATAACATTAAAAATGATTCTAAAGAAGGACAGAAACCAAGAGAGGGGATGGGAGGAAAAAGGAGATTGAGGCTAGGACAAAGTAAGAGACAGCGATGGGGATGAAGAGAAGGGAAGACATGGAGAGGAGTCCTCAACTGCTTGGGGTGTGTTTTTTCATTCATTCACTCATTCATTCATTCATTCAACAGACATCTGTTGAGCACCTACTATGTTCTCAGGCCTGGGGACATGGCAACGACCGTGACAAGTCACCGCTCTCAGGCATACAGTCTGAGCACCATAACGCCAACTCTTAGCACATAGTAGATGCTCAAAAGTCTCCCATCCCTTATGCCACAGGTACCTCTGGTCCTGGCCTGTGACCTTCCGGGATTGCCTGATATTCAGAAATATCACCAAGCCAGGCCCATTTTCAGGAAAAGTAAAAGAATTTTCCATCAGGAACCTGGGAACTTTGAAGGGTTTGGGGGATCGGAGTCGAGGAGGTGGAGTTAGGTCTCAATTCAGCTGTGTGACTTGGAGAAACTCTCATGACCTCTCTGGTCCAGGAGATGGAAAGGAAAGGAGATGAAGTCAGGATGCAGGTGAGTAACCGGGGACTCCTCACTTCCACAAGGCTTCAGACCTTCTCATCTGGTAAGGGAAGGGGAGAAAGGAAGGAAGGGGTGGGGGGCCTCGATGAGAAGAGAGATGAAGAAAGAAGACAGGGGAGTTGCCTGGAGGAGAGAGACGGCCCTAGAGACAGGGCTGGGGTGGGAGGATGGAGGGAGGAGGGGACCTGAGTGGGGATATGGGGGGTCTCGGGGTGGCTCTGAGAGGCCATGGCGAGGTCATTAAGAGTGAACAGAGGGCTTCCCTGGTGGCGCAGTGGTTGAGAGTCCGCCTGCCGATGCGGGGGACGCGGGTTCGTGCCCCGGTCTGGGAGGATCCCACGTGCCGCGGAGCGGCTGGGCCTGTGAGCCATGGCCGCTGAGCCTGCGCGTCCGGGGCCCGTGCTCCGCAATGCGAGAGGCCACAGCCGTGAGAGGCCCACGTACCGCAAAAAAAAAAAAAAAAAAAAGAGTGAACAGAGAAGGCAGAGGTGGACTGGCAGAGAGGGAAAACAAGCACAAACCGGAAACGGAAATGAGGCAGAAACAGGACAGAGATGGAGATAGGGTTGTCAGACTTAGCAAATAAAAATATGCGTATGTCCAGTGAGATTTGAATTTCAAATTTTAAAAAAGATTAGTTTTCTTAAGCATAAGTATACCTCATGCCATATTGGGGCCATCCTTCTACTAAAATATTAGTCGTTGCTGGCTTCCCTGGTGGCGCAGTGGTTGAGAGTCCGCCTGCCGATGCAGGGGACATGGGTTCGTGCCCCGGTCTGGGAAGATCCCACATGCTGCGGAGCAGCTGGGCCCGTGAGCCATGGCCGCTGAGCCTGCGCGTCTGGAGCCTGTGCTCCGCAGCGGGAGAGGCCACAACAGTGAGAGGCCCTCAAAGTTCACGTGTCACTGGGCATCCTGTATTTTATCTGGCAACCCTAGAGGGCGAAGAACAAAGAGAGATCTGAATGGCCACAACGAAGCCAGAGCTAGTCAGAGGAGCCAGGTCATCCAGGTCCACTATCTGGAATCCTAAATCCGGCATGCCTAGCTCACTGCCTCTCTCTGCCCCTGGGTCTCCCCCTCTCTCTGCCTCACTCTCCCCAGCTCTCTGCCTCTAAGGCCCCCTCTCTGTTTCACAAAGCCTCCCTCTCTTCAAACCCTCTCTCTGATCCCTCCACTCCTCTTAGTTCCTCAGCCTTCCACTCCCCTCAGGAATCTGCCTCAGACATCAAAAGTGGTTAAGTCACCGTCGTCACCACTTCCCAAGTCATCAAGGGGGCTGGTCTTTGGCGGTAAGGCCTGAGGGACAAGTGACAAGAGAGGTGGGGGCTGCATTCGGGGCCACTACTCCTTCCTCGGGCAGGGCTGTTGAAGTTGGGGCTGCGTCTAGGCTTTGGGAAAAGAGATTCTGTCAGAAGAATGCTCCATCAGCATTCTGGGCGGGGCCTTGAGGATTCTGGCAAGTCAGGGACCTCCCTCTCCAGCATCCCTTCCATCCTCCTGCCTCCAACTTGCGTGCCTTCCGGAGAAGTTTAGTCGCTAAAGGGTCCTCTCTACCACCACTCCCACTCCAGCATTCTGGGGATGTCTCTGTGTCACTTTCTGGCCCCCTGTCCTTGCCTCTCCTTACGCTCCTCCCTGCCTCAGTTTACCTTCAGTATTTCTCTGGGTGTCTGTCTCACTCAGCATATCTTCCTCCTTTCCATCGTTTTTTGTTTTGTTTTGTTTTGTTGTTTTTTAATCTCATCCCATCGTATCCCTGCAAGGCCTGTCTCTCTCCTAGTTTCTGCTGGAGGCTGAGGTCTCTGTGTGCCTCTCTGACTTTCCCTGTTTCTGCCCGTGTCTGAATCTCTTTCCCCCTGTCTCTGTACCCATTATTATTGCTCAGCAGTAGCAAAAAGAATCCACTCTGGGGACTTCCCTGGCGGTCCAGTGGTTAGGACTCTGCGCGCAGGAGGCACGGGTTCTATTGCTGGTCGGGGAGCTAAGATCCCGCGAGCTCCACAACGCGGCCAACAAAAACAACAACAAAAAGAATCCGCTCGGGCCAGTGTAAGCAGAAAGGGACTTTTTAAGGGACCCTGAGCCTGGTAGAAGAAACAGCTTCCAGGGCACTTCCAAATCCAGAATGGGCCACGCAGGAGCTACTGCTCCCCTCCGCGATCAGGAAGCCGGCCACTGGCCCCACAACCGTACCAGCTCGCTGAGATCTGCACTGGCAGGGCCTCGGCCTCGCGGCTGCCTCTCTCCCCATTTACTTTGGTTGGAAATTCAAGCTTCCCGCGGAGGCATCTGATTGGTGGAGCCTAAACCTCCGTCCCGAACCCCACCACATGGCATTCTGGGAAATGTAGTTTTTAGCGTGCCAGCCTCTTCAGTCCCGGGAAAGTGCGGTAGGAGAGTGGAATAGAGAGACACTAAGTGGAAAAGATGTTGAGGGGGCCCATTGACTCCCCATTATTGCACGCAGTCTGTCCATCTCTCTTCCTATGTGCATGTGTTTCTCACATTCAGTCTTTCTATTTGTCTCTGTTTGTTGTTGTTGTTTTTGCCTCGTTTTCACCGTCCGGTTTTATTTCAGCCCTTTCTCTGTCTCTTTCTTCATCGCTGGTTTCCCTGCCTCACCCTCACCTCTTTCCCCAGTTCCAGCTCCAGTATTTAAGGGAGTTTCTCTCTTGACCCACATCCCATTGTAAGCTGAAATGGAGGCCCAGAGCTATAGGGAAGGAAGATATGGGTGCCCCTCGGTTCAGCGGTTCAACGGACAAGCCAGGAAGACGACCCAAGCTATGGAATTTCTCAACTGCTCTCCCTGCAGGTGGGCACATCCAGCCCCCACAGGTGGCAATGTGAACTGAAAAAGTTTGGTGAGTTCCCAGCCAGAGCTAGAGTGGCCACAGGGTTTTGGGAACAGAGCCCAGCCCTCATTCGGCCAGATGTAACTGACAACTCAACCTGCTCTTCCGGAAACTGTGGCGACCTCCACCCTCTCCCCTCTTCACTGTTCTTCTTCTTACCCAATGATCTTAGAACTTCGGGGAAATGGAGCTGCATCCTTCTCAGGAGGTACACAGTCACTTCAAAAACATTTATTAAGCACCTACT